TTAAGTTACGCTAGATCTAATTAAGTAATAGCTTTAAAGAAGATCTTAATATATCGTAATAATCGCTTATTAAAGATCGCTTATTAAAGATCGCTTATTAAAGATCGCTTATTAAAGATCGCTTATTAAATTTACTCGATAGTTCTAATTAAAAAAAAAATTATAAATTTAATTTATAGATCTTTACTCGTAGTAATATATTTTAATAGAAGTAAAGATCTATAAATTAAATTTATAATCGTTTTTTTAAATTAGAGCTATCGAGTAAATTTAGTAAGCGATCTTTAATTAGCGATCTTTAGTAAGCGATATTTAAATTTCTTATCTTTAAAGAAATATAAGATTAAATTTTAAGATTCTTTTTTATTTAAAAGTCTATATTATATTCGATAATATAAAAGAAAAACTTAAAATTTTAATAGAAATTAAAAAAGTTATTTTAAAATTAAATAATATATATTTATTTTTTAATTAGAGCTATCGAGCGAACTTAATAAGCGAACTTTAATAAATAATATTTACGATTCTTATTCTTTAATAATTATAAGACTAAATTTTAAAAATTTTACGTTATTAAAAAGCGTAAATCTAATAAATCTATAATTATTTATATATATTAATTTGAGATTTTATAGCTTAACTCTATCTTATTCTTTTATATATATTTAATAATACTCTTTATTTACTAATTGATAATTTAACGTAAGATCGTAAAGAGTTAAGTCGTATTCTTAACGATAATAGTCTTATTATTACTTAATTTCTTTATAGTTTTCTTCGTATTTACGTATTATAGTAACTTTTTTTCTTATTTCATTAAGTACTTTAATTAAATAGCTTATTAAATAGCTAATAAAGCGATTAGCTTAGTAATTTATTAAGTAATTAACTAAGTAACTAGCTAAATAGCTAACTAAGTTTAAAAGTATTCGATACTTAAAAGAATTTATAGTTATTAATAGAACTTATTACGTAGTTAATTTATTTTAATTCTTATTTTAATTCTTAATATACTTATTTTAATTCTTATTATATTTTAAAATAGATTTATTATATCTTAAAGCTAATTATTTAAGATATTAGAAATAAATAAGCTAAAATCGAAAGTAGTAGATTTTATATTATCTAAATTAGAAGATATAGTAATAGCTTATTAGAAGATTTACTACTTATATTTACGTATAGTAACTTTACGTAACGAGTTAAATATTAATAGATAAGCGATATAAATATTAAGATAAATAGAGACGTAGCGTAACTAGTTAATACTATATATAAGCGAATATTTTAATAAACTTCTATTAAATAATCTTTAAATATTACTATTATTTATTAAGAAATAATTCTTAATATCTTAATATCGATATAGTATAAAGTTATTCTATTAATTTATATAGTTTATAGATATATATATATATAAAGAGAGACGCGCTAAGATTTAATTAAAAAGATATATCGAGTATAAATAATTAATTTATAATAATCTATAAGAATAATAAGAATAAGATTATAATCTATTAAATCTCTATAAATAATAATAATTAATATACTTATAAGAATTATATTTACTATTATTAAATAAGACTATTTTTATTAAAAGATTAAATAATATATATTTAAATAAATTAAACTTATTCGATATCTTACTTCGATATTATTCGAAGAGTTTTATTATAATAGAAGATTTTTATAAGATTTATATTACTAATTAACTCGATATCTTTAATTCTTTTTAATATTTCGATTCTTACTATAAGAATATAACTATTCTTATTTTTTTTTAAATACTTATTACGAATTAAGTCTTTATATTTAATATATCTTTCTAATTAAATCTTAACGCGTCTCTCTTTATATATATCTATTTATAGACTATATAGAATAATAGAATAACTCTTATATATTATATATATATAAGTTAAATTATAATAATATCTTAATATAAATAAATTAATAAATTATAATTAAGAACTATAATTTTACTCTATTAAAAAAGATTAATAAAGTATATAATATAACTTTAATATTTAATATCTTATTTAAAGTTCATTAAAGAATAAAAAAAGAATAAATTTTTAAATTTTTAAATAAATGAAATAATAATTATAAGAGACTCTAAGTATATAATATAGAAGTCTCTTTATATAAATTATATTAAAACGCGTTAGCGTTAATATTATATTAAAATTAATTAAGAATTAAAATATTAGAAAATTAAAATTAAAATAGAAATAAACTTATTAATAATAATTTTTTTTGAAATATAATTAAGAAAGAAAGATAAGATTAAGTATAAGTATATATATTAAGAGAAAATATAACTTATAAATTTTATAACTATATAAGAATAAAATAATTAATATATTATAGAATAATAAAAATAAGAGAATAATTAAGTAAGTAAATAATTAAAATAATAATTTAAAAGTATATATTATTTAGAGTTTAAGATTTTTAAAAGAGAAGAATTAAAGCTTTCAATTAAAAGAAGTATTAAAAGTATTAAAAGTATTAAAATTTAAAAGATTTAAAAGATTTAAAAGATTTAAAAGATTTAAAAGATTTAAAAGATTTAAAAGATTTAAAAGATTTAAAAGATTTAAAAGACTTAAAAGACTTAAAAGACTTAAAAGACTTAAAAGACTTAAAAGACTTAAAAGAATTAAAAGAGATAATAATAATTTTTTAATTATATAAATAAAGATAATATATAAAGAGAAAGCTCGTTTTTTAAGTTTTAAAGAATATATAATAATAAAAAATAATAAAATAACTATAAAAGATATATATTCTATTATCTACGAAATATTAATTCTACGTAATATATTTATATCGAGTTATTATATAATTTTAATAGTAAGTAGATATTTTAATTTTACGTCGAATTTATCGAATTTATCGAATTTTAGAGATAGTATATTTTTTAATAGATACGAGAATATTAAGATTAATAGAGAGTTTTTTATAATAATCTATATAGACTAGTTAGATAATAAGAATATTATAAGTATTATTTATAAATAAAGATTTATTATAAGGTTCAACGTATCTATTCTAAAATTCTCTTAAAGAATCTTTTTATATTAACTATTTTTTAATCTCATAATATCGTAATTTAAGATTTCTTTCGAAAGTCTTTTAAGAAAGCGAGTCTTCTATAATTTTTTTCGTAAATACGAATATTAAGCCTCGTTTTCGAAATCTAACTATTATAAATTATATTTATACTTTTTAATTTCTGACTTTAAATTTAAGCGATTTAGTTAAAGTTCTTATAGAGATAATATTCTTAAAATCTTATAGAAAGTAATAAGAGTAATAAGAATAATAGAATATAATAGAACGAAGTATAATAAAATAAGATGTAATGAAATAAGATATAGGCTATAAAGTAATATTACGCTATAATATAAATTATAGCTTAGTTATTAATAATAAAACTAAGAAGATCTTTTAATTTAGAGATCTTCTAGACGAAAAATCTTCTAAGATTTAAAAATACTCCTAGGATCTCTATAAAATACGATTTTATTTTACACTATAACTACTTATACTCTATGTCTTATCAATACGAGTCGAAATATTCTCCGCCTACAAATTTGCCAAGACTGTCCGGGGAGGATTAGTAAAAACCCTCTGCCGACCTTAAAGTAAGGAAACGTCAGCGATCTACCATTTGCTTGGCACTTTGACTCCCGAACAATACTTGAGAGTTGCTTACACTACGCAAATACAGATAGGTCACAAGGACAAGCATATATACTGTACTCGTGTATCAGCCGCCCACTATTACCCCATCTCACCTATCCTTTCCTGCTCTCTTCAACTCAGATGCTTTCTTCTCAAAGCTGCGGGTAGAACAATACCTTCACCATGCATTTCATCAAAATCCCAAGGTGCGAAGAATTCTCTGGAAACTACCAGTTTCCCTTTGGCAATACCCTCCTGCTAACCCACCGCATGCCGCAGGGAGTACCTTCAATTCCAAGAGGACGAGATCTTCGGCCTGCAAGATGCCTCATTAAAAAAAGAACTGGATGACAAGGTTGCTGTCGATGAAGCTCATTCATCAAAGCTATACATACCTCCGAACATCAGTTATACAATGTGGTCAGGCAAGCACTCAAGGAGGTAGACTTGGATAGCTCAAGGAGAGTGGCGCTTGAAGATTACGTCCATCTAGGCGTTCATACGATCGAAAGAGAACATAGGATGACTTGTGGGTGGTAGTTCATCTCGAAAGTTCAGGCTCCTTAGCGATAATTACACACACCATAAATGAGGAGGGGCAGACAGATTTTACGAGGCACATCAGTGCACTATTGAATTGGCGGATGATCCGTACATTGGCCATCGTCACCCTTTGGCCCCACACACGTCCGAGTTTCTCGATGACTGCAAAGATGGCCTAGTGCGAGCGAAGCTTAGCAATGACAGCGCGCCGGATACTATTGACGAGCGGGTTCTGAATAGAAAGGGCAAGAATATCAAGTGCTTTGAACGCTTTCCGCATGAGAACCAACAACATCGTGATCAAGTGCTCTAATAGCATCGGGTGCTCAGTCATTGACATCGGTATTGGTACGAGAGAAACTTCTGCCTGGCGGCAAAAGGAAATCTTTTCTTTGTGAAGCCAGCAAAGATGTATGTTTATTGTTATTGGCGCCGTCATTTTGTCTACCATTTCGTCCGTAAAGGGAGATGATCTTGATGGTTACCATCTATTTTGTATAGTCCTGGGCTTGGTTTATGATAGTTACTCGTTTAGCGCTCGTGTTTACAGAATTGGAGAAATGCTATCTCTAGACTTTGAATTCCGGAATTAAAGAGGGCCTAAAACAGCGGTCGTGGAGTACGCGAAAGCAGATCACATAGGCTCTTGAACGAACGTCAAAAGGGTTAATGTAGTACACTAGGAGACTATGATATGGATACGTATAGGTTTCCTGCTAAAATGTTTCCTATATGATAATGGAATGGCTAGCTATCGACACAAGATATCAATCTATCATATGATTGTTCTTTGAGGGCCTATTCAACTTGAAAGCTACTAAAACCTCGAGTCTCATCTCCATGCTCATGCTCGTCTTCATTCCTCGGCCTGCACTATACTCGGTCTTATATAACGTCATTATTTGTTCCATGACGGCTTGAGATTCGGAATTTTCATTGACGTCACGAATGAGGTAAAATCGTGGCAACGAAAAATAGCCCAGTCGTAATACGGATACCAGATGTAACCTTTTCGTTCCATTCCAATTAGCTTCTGATGCGACCTCTGGCTTGTCTTCTTTGACCACATCTTTTGCCGACGTGTGAGAAACATTTATTGGTGCAGCAAACAGTGATTTAATATCTGCATCCAAGAGATCGAGACAATCCAATTTCTCCCGCACTTCTTTAGTATTCCCTGTCCTAAAGACTCGCTCAACAGCAGTGACTGATTCTGCTGCCTCTTGAGAAACATTGAGATCATCCAGCAGCACTACCGTTTCATGGAAACTAAAACAAAGTCTCTTGGCTAGAGCTGCTTCCTGTAGAGTCCATAACCGTTTGGTCCAAGGAGAACATCTAATCGCAGCGATGTAATCTGAAATAGACCCCGGCCTTTGACGATAAAGGCTTGACTCCAAAACCAGTACTGCATCGGCAGCCTCGAAAACCCGCTTGATCTTCTCAGTCGCTGTCTTTTTGCGATGGTCCTCAGGAATGCAGATAGTATCAATCCAGAATGGGAGCGTGGTACCCAGCGATAGTAGTATCTTGGACTGTAGTAGCTCGTTGACCAGACTTTGCAGTTGCTGAAGAGAACATTTGGAGGTGCCGTCGAGAAATAAATTTTGTGATCTGACGTGGCTCAGAGCTACAAACTCACATGTACTCTGGCCTTGGTGTACACTTGTTCTTGAGATGTTCGGCTTACCCTCGATAGACACCGAGATCAAAGGTATGTCGCCATCGTCGAGAATAGTTGCGACGTGGCTTGAGATATCAAAAGGATCAATTTGGCAGTTGCATTCTTCTATTGCGTCCTCTGGGGACATGTCTCGCGGGGAAGACATCTCTTGACTCCTTTGATCTCTCCACCACAGTTTACCACAATACAGTCTTTCTTGATCCAATAAAATATCATCAAAGAGCAGTTTCTCATTGGTCTATCTCGCCCTCCATACCTGGGAGTATATACGGAGGTCTCACGTCTGCGCCAAAGGTTCCAGATAGCGCTATCAGCGGCGGCTCTCAGATATAGTAGGCTCCCGTTAGGTTTAAGGAAACAGAGGAACTAATAATGTACATTCTCGTCGTAAAAGGATAATTGATGTATCTATAACTGGTGTGGCGGATTATCTACTCGGTGACCGAGTCCTACGAGTCTCATGTCGGTGTGATATTTCGGCTACGCTTGCCTTATTTAGCAAGCGGCTCGCTAGAAACTTTCTTATACTTAGATATATACGATAGAGTAATATATAATATAGACTATTTTCTATATAAAATAATTAGTAAATTCTATATAATTATATTTAATAGTAATACTCTTTATAATTTTTATTTAAAAACTTATATATTCTTTTAACTTCGTTATAAATAATTTAAAAAAGAATACTTTATATAATTATATATTTTTATTATATTATATTTATCTTAATTTAATATAAAGATATAAAAGAACTATTAATAAATATAATTATATAAAGTATTCTTTTTTAAATTATTTATATAAAGTTATAATTATTTAATTATTTATTTATTTATATACGCTTTTACTCGAACTATAAAGAGTAATTATAGACTACTATAATAATCTTATATATTTATTAAAAAGATCTTATTGATTCTCTTTAGATTAAGATAAAAACTCTTAATTCTCTTTTCTTTATTACTTTATAATATATTTTAATTCTTCTATTATATTTATACTTTAGATCTTTTAATTTCTCTCTTATACTTTAAATTTAATAATTTTTTTATTTATCTCTAGAGAATTAATCTATATAGTTATATATTAATAAGTAAGTATTAATTTAAATAATTTATTTAAATAATTTATTTAATAATTATCTTTATAATTTTATCTCTTTAAAGAATATTAGTATAACTAATATATCGCTAATTTTAATCTCTTTTATTAAAATTTATCTCTTTTTTATTTAACTTAAATAAAATATTAAAATATATTTAATAGTTTATTTTTTTAATTATATATATAACTATTTAAAATAATATCTAATATTTTATTTATATAGAGAAAATATATAAATTTAATTTTCTTTATATATATCTAAGTAAAAGCGAAATTTTTAACTTTAATTTATTTTCGATAAAAAAAAATTAATTAATTTTAATTCTCTCTATTATATTAATATTCTTATTTATTTAAAAATCTTTAATTAATAATAACTTAAATCTCTATTAAAATTAAAGTTTTTAATAGTTTATTTAAATAATTAGACTAAATCTAATTTTTTAAATTATTAGATATCGATATAAGTTTAAATATCGAGATTTACTCGACTATTAAAGACTTTTTCATTATTAAAATAATTAAATATTCTTTTTAAATATCTATACTATATAATAAATATATCTTATATATCTTCGCGTAATTCTTTTTTAACTAATTATAAAGCTACTACGTGTTATAAGATTAAAATTTTTAAGACTATAAACTTTCGAGTATTAGAACTAGTATAGATATAATATTAATATAAATGAGATAGATTAAGAATAATAAGGCTATCGAACTATATAGATGAAAAGGAGATATAATATAGACTATAGTAGAAGATATCTTCGCTAAGATATTAGATTATAGAGTTAAGTAGTAATATATTAAGAGTATACTCGTAATATCGAGTATTACGAGCGTATTCTTAATATACCTCTTAGCTCTATAACTAGCGGGCCTTAGCGAAGATATTCTCTACTATATTATATCTTCTTTTTATCTATATAATTCGATATCTTAGTTATTTTATTTAATATATCTATATTAATATTATAATTAAAATTAATTTATTTATTTTATTTATATTAATAAATAAATTTAAAGAAACGCGCTAATAAAGACTTTAATAAGAAATTAAATTAAATTATTATATCTTTAAATAAGTTTATTAGATAGATAAATTAATTTTAAAGAGCTTAAATAAAATAGCGAAATAATTTTAATAAATAATAATTAAGAGATAAAGAAGATATTAGATTATTTATATAGTTAGCGAATTAAAAGAAATAGTTAATATTATCTTATATTTTTATATTTAAAATATATACTAGTAATATTACTTATAACTTTATATATTATAATATCTAAAGTTTTAATAAGATCTTAATTAAATAAGAAATAATCGAGTTATAATTAATTTAGAATATTATTTTTTAAAACTTTTTTATATATAATTTCTTTATAAAATAAGAAATCTTTTAAGCGAAGTAAGTATACTCGAAAAGCTATTATTTAAAGTATTTATAATCTTTTTAATATTTTAAATAATTAAAAAATAAATATATTAAACTTTTATAAAGAAATAATCTTATTTTAGACTTTATAGTAAAAAAAAATATTTTTAATATTAAATAATTTCGATACGTTTTTAAGAAATTTTACTATTCTCTAATATATCTAATATTCTTAATATCTATTCTTTCGAAATATTTAAACTCCTCTTTACTTTATTTTAAATCTTCTTTTTTTCTTTCTTATAATAAAATTTAATATTAAAAGAATAAATTAAATTAAGACTCTATTTAAGTAAATTAAATTTTAATAAATATTAATTCTATTAGATAATATAGTCGACGAGTTTAACTTAATAAAAATATTTTAAAATATTATTATTACTCTATAATTATAATATTAGACTAAATATTAACTTAACGAATTTATAATTATATTAAATAAGATTCGTTAGAAGCGAGATAATTTTTAAGAGATTATTATTTAATATTATATCGTTATAATAGAAAAGAATCTAGTTATAAATAATTTATTTTAAATTTATAAAATAATTAAGAAGATAAATTAATTAGTTTAAGACTTTTAGAAGAATATAACTTTCTTATAATAAAAAATTAATAATCTTAATTTATAATCTATAAAAGATTTATAATTATTCTTAATTAAGAAGAAATATATATCTAGATAATTAAAAGAAAAATTAATTAAGATTCTAGATTTATCTCTATTTATCGATAATATTAATTCTATTTAAAACGATTAATTCTTTAAAATAAAATAAAAATTTAAGATTAATAGCGATTATTATCTTATTAAAAATTTTAAAATAATCTATATAATTTTATAATTTAGTAATAAGATTATATAATATATAATATATAAAAAACTTCGAAACTCTATTAATCTATATTAATTTTTTATTAAAATTATAAACGAGTTAATTGATATCTATAAGAACTTAAATTAATATAATAATATATTATATAATATATATACTCTATAATAAAAAATCTAAATCTTTATCAACTTTTATTTAGATTTTATTTAATTAAATATTATTCTTAATATTAAAAAAACTCTTATATTAAAAAATTATCTTTTTAAGAAATTAAGAAAGAAATTAAGAGAGTTATAATAGATTATAAAAGATTTTATTATCTTAAAAATTATAAAAAAATATTTTCGAAAGTTAAATAATTTATAACGTATTAAATATAAGAATTTTAAGTTTATAAAGATTATTATTAAGTTAATTATAATATAAATATTAATAATAATATCCGCGATTAAAATATATCTTATATTTATTATCAAATTTAATTTAAATATAATTACTATATTTTTAAATATTATAACTAATTTAAAGTTAAGAAAATTAATATACTATAATTATAATAAGAAAGATTACTATTAAAAGAACTATATAATAACTATCTAAATTAAGATTAATAAAAAGATCTTTAAAAAAATATAACTTTATACGATAGAAATAAATAAAGAATTTAAAATTAATAATATTAATACTATAGATAATAATAATTCTTTTTTAAATTTAGAAAATAAATAGTCTCTTTTAAAGTTATAATAAGAGATATTTATAAAATATATTTAATAGATATTCTTAATAACGTCTTAGTACGTTATTCTTTTTATATATAAGTTACGCTATCTTTATAAAAGAGAAATTATTTATTTAAAAACTTTTTAATAGATAGTAGATATATTAATATTTATATAGTTATAAACGAGTTTCTAATCTTAGTAATATATAAAGTTCTATATCTAAAGTTATTTTTATTATTAAGATTTAAATTATTAAGAGATTATAACGACTAAATCGCAAAATAATTAATTATATATTATTTACTCTTTATTATAATAATAAAAAATTATTAAAAAGAAATATATCTAATATTAATTATATTATTAAAATATAATATAATAATTAGAAAATCTTAAATAAATAAATATAAAATAATTTTTAATATATTATAAAATAAGATACTTTTTCTATTTAATTAATATAATTATAATAATAATAAAATATTAATAATAAATAAACTCTCTTTTCTATCTACTTTAGAGCTTTAATTATTTATATTATTTATTCTTTTATCTATTATATTAAAATAATAAGAATTTTTCTTACTTATTTATAATAATAAAAGTAATTTAAATATCTCTTTATTAAGTAAGATTAAGTTTATCGATATTGCTAAAATTAATATAATAACTTATTATTAACTAGTCTATAAAAAAGATAATAAACTATTTATATTAATAATAAATAAGATCTATAATACATTATTTATATTATATATATCTCTCTTTATTTAAATATCTCGCGAAATTTATATATTAATTAATAAATTATATTTCTATAATTTAGAAAAGAAATATAAGAAATATTATAATTTTAATTATTTTATTTAGATTAATAGCGTTAATGTAGTTAATTTTAAAAAAATAAAATATAAATTATCTTTAAAGTATTATAACTATCTAGATATTTTTAATAAAATTAAAATAAATATATTTTCTCTATATTATCTCTATAATTATAAATTAAAATTTAATAATAAT